CCACTTTAAGTGTATTTGGCTGGCACCTTAGCCACTTGAGCCACAGGTGCCAAGCCGAAGCTTCAACTTTTAATTTAATCACTTGATAACATAATGTAGTATAGTAAATTATTTCATGTAAGGGCAGAGTTTACATCAGTAATGAATTAATGAACGAAGAAATAAATTAATGAATCAATATCCCGAGTTTTTATTAGATAAAATCAATTCAATTAAAAGGGTTATCCTTTATCCTGAAATCATACCTTTTCGGTTTAACATCCAGCTTATTTATTTTATAAAATGATAAGACAATAGTTGCTACTATTTTTAATTCTTCGTTTGGCAAAATAAAAAATGAACAACTACCTTACTCCTAATCCCCACTGTGTGGGGGTAAGTAACCGTTACCACTGGGTCATGAAATAAAGTTGGGGTCATATGAAATATCAAAAAGAATACTGGAGTTGATTTCTGCAGACATGGGTTATTGATACTAGATTGGCCAAACTTTTCTAATCTGTAAAATCAAAAGACTGATCACACTAAGACTATTTTCGATAAACATCTGAGACTTTCAGAGTCTGACCTTTTCCGTTTAAAAACCGTCCTATCAATCAACAGAAGCACCAAATGGCAACGTTAGGATACCAGCTTGGGGTACAAATAGTAGGACTCAAATTTCATTTAGAAATGAAACCCTGAGGTTTTTCGCCCCAGACGGACCGACCCCTCTTTCGCGACCCTCCACCCCCACCTCCCGACCCTAGCCACTTTTACTCTTTGACAAACAGCTCCCAGAGCCGGTCCCATCCAGATTCCGGGTAATAGGGTTCTGGAACGTAGGGAGGCAGCTCCCGATCCCCCGCAAGGGCGTCCGAGTCAGCGGCCACACTTTCGGCGGCAGACACTCGTGGGAAAGGATCCAGACCCCTGCGGAGAAAGCTCCGTGGGGCCGGCGGCGGCACCTCCATGGCTCTCTCCAGAGCTGCGCACAGACACGTGGGCGTTGAGGAGCCCAGGGCCGCCGGGAGGCACCGCAGGAAAGGGCGAGGGTAACTGCACGAACGAGCGAGTCCCGGTGCACTCGGCCAAGCCAAGCTGCTGTCAGATCGGCAGTCACCACAACAGACAGTACTATTTTCATCCCGGAGTACCCAGACTTTGGAAACGCTTCACCAGAGTCCCGCCCACCAGATCAAAGGTCAGGGGGTGGGGCGACAGGGGGAGCCGGAACCGAAAACATCTCCGGGTCGCAGCCGCCCCGGCCCGGCCCCCGGAAGTGAGTTGGCGGCGAGTTTGCTGCTCTTAGCGCCGGGCGGCCCCGCCTTTGCTCGGTTTCCCCCGGCCTCCTGGGAACCTACTAACGGGGTTTGGGGGTTGTTAGCCCTCAGCTTGATGTGTGCCAGACTGATTTAGAGTATTTAAAATGTCCAGAATTCCCCATAAATGAAGAATAAAGTGCAGTATTCAGTGCAACTGGAGTAAGGAAAGAGGGAAGGGCAGTTTCCGCAGAAGCAAGCCCAACCCTCCTGGCACAGCTGGAGAAGACTTCCGGGCTGGGCAGGTCCTTCCTACCCTGTAAGTTACGGCTTCCGGAAGGCCGGAGGGGTTGGGGACCGTCTTGGTGCCGGTTACACCAAGATTTCTGAACAGTTTTTTGAAGAATCGTTTTTTGGCATTCCTCTTAGTTCATATGCCTACTGCTTCTCAAAAGGTAGGAAAGGTCTAACAAGTGTTTGCTAGTTCAGCAATAATTTACCATCGCTACAGCCTCTGGCAATATATGATTCGAGGTATAGTTTTAATTAAAATACACATTTAAAAATTATCGAACTGGTTTGTGTAACTTAATCCTCGTTAGTAACCATACTCCCTCATTATCCTTTCCCAAACTTTTATTCCTTTCTTTCTAGTTGTAATCCAAAATTGCCACACTCTTTAGTAAAATACAGTAAATATACTTCTGGAATTTGATAGCCAAAAATGCTATAGATAAAGCCCATAGAAGTGACTGACTGGAGTGACTAGCTAAAGTAATGACAGTACCATGCCAAGATTTCACTGGTGTCTGGGAGGCACGATTAGACTCAGCACCTATCATAGAACTTACGGGATTTGCATCGTAATTTCTTGTTTATCTGTCTCCATAGACAAACCCTGAGGTCAGAGACTACAAAAATATGTATTGACCTCTGTATTTACAGGACCTAGCACCTCATCTGGCATGTAGTAGGTGTTTGGTAAACTTTGCTGAATGAGGAATTCAGATCCCCTGACTTCTGGCTCTCACTTCCTGCTTATCCCATTTTAGGGAGAGGTGGGCATCAAGATTAAGGTTCCTAAGAAAACAGCTGTACAGCCTATCTAGCCTACCTGTAGAAAAAGCTAAATGCATAAAATGTGTTTTGTTTTTTGACACAGTGTCTCACTATGTTGCCCTCAGTAGAGTGCCGTAGTGTCACAGCTCACAGCAACCTCAAACTCTTTCGGCTTAAGCGATTCTCCTGCCTCAGCCTCCCAAGTAGCTGGGACTACAGGCACCCACCACAACACTTGGTTATTTTTTGGTTGTCAGTTGTCGTTTAGCAGGCCCTGGCTAGGCTCGATCCCACCAGCCTTGGTGTACGTGGCTGGTGCCCTACTCACTAAACTATGGGCACTGAGGCTAAAGGCATAAAATTACCCCAGAATCATTCTGGGAGGAGGGAGGACTTGCAGTGGGGAAAATGGTTGGGTGAGTGTTAGGCAGATACTCATCAATTCATTCATGTACATACTCTAGTGCCCCAAAATTCATTAGCCTGTGAATACAAATGAGGTCATTTTTGCAGATTTCAGCAACTCCATAGCTAGTTTCTTCTTTGGGTAACTGAAAACTTAATCTGTAAGGTTCCCTTTGCTATCTAATACTTCAAGCAAGCCCCCAGTGCCTCAGTTACTACTCACACTGCTGCCACAGCCCTTTCAGACTGTCACTCTACTGCATTTTCTACTTTTGCTAAGCCCTCAGTTTACCTTCTTTTACTAGTACAGAAACTCTTTTCCTCTGTGGTCTGCTCTTTTTGAAGGGCCTCAGAGCAACTCTATTTTAAGCCAAAGGTGTTAGTTTTTAGTTGGACCACTCTTTCCCCAGAATGTATATCTGCCAGCAGAGTAACTACATCAGGGATGGGTTTCGGTACAGTCACTTCACTGTATGTGGAAGCACCCTTCTCCCCGCTCTCAGCCTTTGTTGCTGAGTCTGTTCATAGAATCCAACAGCACAATACTTGGTGAACCCTTTCACCACCAAGTTCATAGACTACTACCCTTGCTACATATTCTACATTTTGTTATGTTGGACATAAACCATTTCCATAGGTAGAATTTTGAGACTCCAAGGATCAGTTCATTTACTCATCCTCTGAAGTGTAAATCAGTTTTTACCTCCAGTTTCCTATCTGTCCCAGTTGAAAATTTCTTCTTCCTCTTAACTTCAAATCAACATTATCTTTATGAATAATTGGCATTCAGGCTGTCTTAACAAACTTGTACCTATGAGGCTTTTCATATTATTTGCTTTATCAACTCAACAGCAGAATCCCTTGAGGGTAAGCAGCCTTTCTGTAAACTTTTTCTTAGATCCCACTGCTTGTGCACAATAGAGCCTCAAGAAGGTGCCCTCGGTAGAGTGCTGTAGCATCACAGCTTACAGCAACCTCAAACTCTTAGGCTTAAGCAATTCTCTTGCCTCAGCCTCCCAAGTAGCTGGGACTACAGGTGCCTGCCACAACACCCGGCTATTTTTTTAGAGGTGGGCTCTTGCTCTTGTTCAGGCTAGTCTCGACCTCATAAGCTCAGGTAATCCACCTGCCTTGGCCTCCCAAGTGCTGGGTTAAGAAGTACCTTATGAATATTGTATGAGTGATTTGTAATTATAACCCTCTGTTCCATCCACAACACTTTACCTCTAGATGCAGTTAAGATTATCCTAAGAGAGGGCATCTTTAGATGCGTGTAAAGATTGGTTTTTGTATGTGTGTGTGTGCTCTTGTTTGTAATCTGTCTAAGGTAAGTGCAGGGAACTTTTTTGAATTGACAAATAAGCCCATTAAGTCTTTTTCTCTTGGGAATTTTGGGCTAAGAGACAGAGCCTAGCAGTCTGTGGAACTTCTAGCAGCAGCACTCTAGAAGCAATCACAGTTTTTGCTGAGATCCCTGCAGTTACCCTTGTTTATACCCTTCCAACCACTAGAAAACTTTTTTAGATTCCATGAGATGCCATCATATTGTAATGAATTCCTAAATTCCTTTCCTTAAACTAGATAGAAGCAGTTTCTTTTCTTGACAATTAAAAGAATCTGACCTGAAGGAGTAGAACATAAAGAAAGGAAAAGCATTATTCATGTTAGCCAAGTATACTACTTCATTCAAATAAACTAAATCATTATCTTTCCTTAAAGAGAAGTATGACCTTTAGCTCTTTGGGACTGAACTATTAATACTGAACTAGTATTAATAACAACAAAAATCTTCCAAAGTTGTGGGGAAACAAATTATTTGCAAAAACATTACATTTTACATATTATAACACACCAACGTCATACCATCTCTGCTGAGGTAAACAGATAAACAAGTATAAAATCTGAATAACATTTGGTGTAAAGACAAAGATACCCTATTGACTCTTCAAAGGATAGGTGAGGATTTATATTTATCCAATTCCTAAGGTCTTTCCAGCCTTGGAACCAATGGCTGGAAAAACTGTAAATAGGATCTAGTTACGCCAACAGTCTCCATCTATCCATCCATCCATCAACCACCTGCCTGCCCACCTACCAGTTCCTCAGTATTTAATTTACTATTAAGTAGCTCATCGACTTGGGGCACAGTGAGGCACTGTGCTGAATAATGGAGACATTAAAATTAGTAAAACATAATTACCATTCATCAGTAGGCTCACAGAACAGTAGGAGAAATAGTCATGTAACTATAGTGCAAAGAGGTCATATTAACACAGGTATGAGCAAAGTATTACGGTAACTCATAACTGCCCCCCAAAATGAAAGAAATCAGAGAAGATGGTGTTTGAGCTGCGACTTGAAGCTAAGTGGGAAACATTCCCAGGGAAATGATGCTTCAGTTCCTAACAAAGGAGAACCAATTTTGTTCCTATTTTAGTGAGAGAAAAATTAAGATACAGAGAAAATCGGGCCTTATAGCGACAAAGAAAATGTATAGTACAACTCAGAAAACTGTACTGCTTGACTTATAGCACCTAAGGACACAGTCCCTGTGATCTGTTAGGACTCAAAAAGAAGAAATCCCACTTTAAACATCTGCCTTGTTCCTTAGAGATGTTCAACTTCTCTAAGAAAGTCCTTAGACTTAAAAGTTTATGGAAGGGAGTTATAAAGGCCAAATCCATTTCTGACAAATGGAATATAATTTCTCATTTTCTATGACTGAATCTCACATTTACTAATTTTAAACAATACCAAATAGTTTTTAAAGTGTAAAGAAAAAGAGCTGATTTCTCTGTGGAAAGGTTGGGCCTAAGGTGAAGGATGGTTCTAATATCAAAGTTTTAATATAAACATTTTTCTTCATTGTTTAATGATAGGGAGAGCACATTAAGCAATTAAACTACTACCCAAATGGACAAAGGACACAAACATAGATTTGCATTAAAACAAATAACTCGTACATAAGCAAGCACTGAAGTTGAATGTGCTGAGCTACCAACTGAATCCCATGTTCATGTATGAAGACTCCTTGCAGCCCCTGCTATGGCCAGTTTAAGAAAGAACGAGAAGGGTATGCAAAGGGCAAGGAAAAGTTGCCATTCTATGCACAGTTCTGTTAAAAGAGGGCCACTTCCTACATTTCTTAAGAGGTTTTTGTCTTTTTTTCCTTTAGAGAGATAATAAAAAGGGCATGAAGGCACAAAAAGGGAACTTGAAATCCAATTGCAATACTCATGCAACTGGTTCCTTTCAAAGTAGAAACCTCCTGAGTAATAAAGAGTTTATGCTTTTACAAAAGAGAACTCCTCTATCATTGGCACAGTTACAGCTTCCTTAGGCCTTTCAGAATGATCCCCAAGTATTTTTTCATAGGGTTTTCTATGTTAAAATAAAGTGATAGAGTTCAAGCCTAGAATTACTTCAGACTGTAGCAGTGAGTTGTACTAATTCCAAATGATGAATTTTCTGCTCCACATAATGGGACAAAGGGCATCATCACATGGATATAAGTCAATTTCACAGTGATGGACATACACAAGTAGATGATCTGAGGCACAAGCTGTGATTGGTCCTAAGATGATGAAAGTAGAACTGGGTCCAAAATCCACATCTCATGATTTCCAGTCCTTATTCAGCCAGAGTTGAGTAGCTTCCTATCTGTGTATTATACACGTTTTGGAACTTTCTCAAGAGTTGCTCTGGGTGCAGCATGATAAAGAAAACCAGCTACTTGGCTCAATAAAGGTGATCAAGATACAGGTGCCATGCTCATACGATATCTGAGATCGCTGCCACAGCAAGAACGATGGTCCTATGATGACTACTAGAGTTCAGTTTTCACAATTTTAGGAATAATCTGATCATAGCCTTTCCTTCTTGTTACGTTATAGGACAGGAATTTAGAGTATTCAGTTAAGAGGCTCTCCCAGTAACAGGTGATGTCATCCATCTGCAGGTGGTTCATAATAAACTGGTTTCCCCTAGAGACAAGATTAATAAGAATATTTTAAAGTACAGAAATCAGAAATAATAATAGCCTACATTTGAGTATACTTTATATGCGTTAATTCAATTTGATCCTAGAACCAACCCTACAGTCATTATATCCACATATATGCATGTGGCAATAGAACATAACTTCCCTTAAAAATAAACATAAACAGCCAATGCTCATAAAAAGAACTTAATTAGGGCGATGCCTGTGGCTCAGTGAGTAGGGTGCCAGCCCCATATACCAAGGGTGGTAGGTTCAAACCCAGCCCTGGCCAAACTGCAACCAAAAAATAGCCAGGCATCATGGCGGGTGCCTGTAGTCCCAGCTAATTGGGAGGCTTGGGCAAGAGAATCACTTAAGCCCAGGAGTTGGGAGGTTGCTGTGAGCTGTGACACCACGGCACTCTACCAAGGACGATAAAGTGAGACTCTGTCTCTACAAAAAAAAAAAAAGAAGAACTTAATTACCTCAATGATTTCAGTCTATTTCTACAAAGGCTGGGGCATATGAGAATGTGTTTGTTTTCCCCCCAGAATAGCTTTAATTCTGAGTTATTACTGTATATTGAGGAAATATAGGTATGACCATAGTAGCAATATTTAGATAACTTTAGTTAGGGCAAAATAGGGATGATAAAGTACAGTGAAAAAGGAAAAATGAACAGAACTTACCTTTCAGCAATTTCTTGAGCTACATCATCATTTGCTTTTACAAATTGCAACAGCTCTCTAAAATGAAAAGAATTATTAGACTCTAGAGCAAACTTACTACTACTAAGTCAAAAAGACGGTGGATTAAGGTCTATGGTTAATCTCTAGACACATGGGTAGTGGATTACTTCCTTAAAGCAGAGATATTAGGGTCCTTGCAAGAAGAAAAAGTAACCCCCCCAGAAGAAGCCTATACACAGGTTAAAGGCAGCCCATTGTAGAATAGACAATTTCATCCTGTCTCCATCCAAGTTCTTGCTCTGGCCCCACTGAAGAAGAAGGGAACTGGGGTCACATTTCTGGCTTTATCTATACATCTTCCTGGCTTCTCTCATCATGAAAGGAAATTTGCCTAAGTCTCATTTGGATCAGTTTTCATACTGTATCTGAAGATTCCTTTGACAATAAAATAAGATCAAATATCCCTATCTTTAGTCTTTGGAAGACGAGAACTTTTTTTTTTGGGGACAGTCTCAAGCTGTCACCCTGGGTAGAGTGCTGAGGCATCACAGCTCACATCAACCTCAAATTCCTGGGCTTAAGTGATTCTCTTGCCTCAGCTTCCCAAGCAACTGGGACTATAGGCACTCGCCACAACGCCTGGCCATTTTTTGGTTGTAGTCATCATTGTTGTTTGACAGACCCAGGCTGGATTCAAACCTGCCAGCTCCTTGTATGTGGCTGGCACCCTAGCCCTTTGAGCTATAGGCGCCAAGCTGAAAGCCTACAACTTTTTAACTTCATAGTGTCTGAATGTTTTGTTTGAAATTAGCATTAAAGCACTTTTTCAAATTAAATGCCATTTATAGCATACTGGATAATAACACAATACTATATATACAAAATAAATAAAAGGAACAAAATGCTTTCAATGGAAAAATTCACCAGGAATAAATGTCTTAAATGGCTGGACATAAAAGGCAGATTACAAGGATCATTAGAAACTCTACATCCAGGGACAGCTGCTTACTGGACATTGGAGAGATCTGTTTTGACCGGGATATAGTGAACCCATGGCTTCAGCTGTGGATAGAAGAATTCTAGCCACTCATCACCAACATGGAAAACAAGTGATCCACACAGGAAGAGGTGTTTGAACCGGAAACTTGCTGCTACACCTCGAAAATTAAACAAATACCTAGGGAAAAAAAGAGCAAAATACATTTGCTACTATATGCCTGCTGCTACAAATACGACCTTTTTCTTTTATTCCCTCCTCCATTTCTTTTTATGGTTCCTCTCCCTTCTCCTTCCAATTTCAATTTTCAAGAACACATTAGAATGTCCTTGTGGGGTTTCTATGAAATACTCTTTGTTTTTCCAGGGTTGGGGCTACTAGTTGTTCTAGGACTGCCAAGGCGAGGGAAAGAGGAGGATACTACTTTCCCTAGACGGAGCTAGATAAGGTCAGGAGTAGGGTGCTGGGTAGGGAGGTTATGAAGCTCAGAAGGAAATGATAGCCTCTTGTAGGTTTGAGACATACTTGAGACAATACAGAAATGCTCAATGATATACATCAAAAATCAGAAGTGGAACAAAAAAATTCATAAACTTGTATAAGCCTCAAGTCTCTATCTATGGACTCTCAAAGCCTAGTTTTTCCTCTAGTGTACCCTATCTGGTCAAAGGCATCCCCTGTTTCCAGGAAATATTTTCTCTTGAAGTCTGGAGAGGAAAACAAGGCAAACAAAATCAATTTTCAAAGAAATGCCCCCAGAAAAAAATGCTATCTTAGAAAAGAACAACATTTTCTTACTAGTAATTATTTTATTTTATTTTAGAGATAGAGTCTCACTATGTCACCCTCAGTAGAATGCCATGGCATCACAGCTCACAGCAACCTCCAGCTCTTGGGCTTAGGCGATTCTCTTGCCTCAGCCTCCCAAGTAGCTGGGACTATAGGCGTCTGCCACAACGCCTGGCTATTTTTTTGTTGCAGTTTGGCCAGGGCTGGGTTTGAACCCACCACCCTTGGTATATAGGGCTGGTACCCTACTCACTGAGCCACAGGTGCCACCCAAACTTATTTTTTGGCTCGGGCTGGGTTTGAACCCACCACCTCCAGTATATGGGGCTGGCGCCGTGCCCCTTTGAGCCACAGGTGCTGCCCCTCCTTATTAGCAATTCTTAATGCATACACCTGTCTCCAACCAGCGTTGCTTTTACCTTTAGCTCCCACTGTGTGTCATCAGCATTCACATCTCTGAATCTCCCACTGTGTTCCTCCAGGCCTGATTTTACCAGTTAATCTAATTCTTGGTCCTGGCATTTAATTCTAACATTTATTAACCTGAGACATACGTAATCTAATTTCAACTACTGGGTGGGTAGGGTGTAGACAGGCAATCCTAACTGTGATCATTAGCAGGCAACTCTCTGGAAGCAGGGACCATATTCCATTTGTCTCTACAGCCCCCATAGAACTCAAGTCAGTGCATGGTGAATTAGTGTGACTTTCTGAAACCTCATCTGGGCCTTCATGTTAAAGTTCCCACCCAAAGTGAAGCTGCTTCAAAAGCAATGTGAAGAGAGTCAGGACTCTTGGAAATCTTACTTGTACTTGCAGTGATCCACGAGATGGACATCCTTAGCAGCTGGCTTTCCCAACGTATCCTTTATGTGAAATGGAAGTTACTAGTATTAGTAGTAATAGCATTTACTGGTGACCGCTGTGCAGCAAGTTTGGTTAGGCATTTCAACATTACCTCATTTAAACCTCATAATGAACAAACTCTGGAGACATTATTGTCCCCATTACACAAATGATGAAGGCAGGACATCAAAAAGTTGAGAGACTTTCTCAGAGTCACATGGCCCTAAATGGAAGCGCTAGGGTTTTAACCCAGGTCTCTGATTTTAGAGTTTAAGCTCATCTGAAACCACGTTGCCTTCCTTTGAACTCAGACGCCACAGTCTGCAGCATATTTCACTCTGTAAATTACACACACAGAAGTCACAAGTGTCGGCTGGTGGGCTTAGGGGTGTAGCCCCCAGGCACACAATCTTGTTAGGCATGCAAAGTATTTAAATATTCAAACCATTGCCAACATTTATAGGTGGTAGGATATTTCTTATAAAACTCCAGATTCCCAACTTTTCTTGAAGAAAAACAAAAAAAGGAAGATCTGGCAACTGAGCACCCCTTCCCATTTGGCAGCAGTCCACAGGAACCGTTCGTGCTCCCTCTTGCTCACTCCTTTCTGGCATGTGCTGGCTTGTGGGGGCATTTGAATTTGGGTCTCTCATATACATCACATCCACCTTAGCAGACGGTAAACTTGAGGAGGGGAATAACTCTTTTTTGCTTTTGCAGCCTCCTACAGTACATGCTGACCACTTGTGTGCCGAACGAGTATACTTTAAAAAATATTTTTATTACTTAGTTTCTTAAATTCATTTGCTCCTGTTTGGTTGAAACTGTATAAATAATGCATCTCAAATACATGCATCTCAGATATACTTTTCTCCCCCAAAACTTAAAGCTTTTTCTTATAGCGCCCTCACATGGCATATGAAAATTTCAGATAAGGAAATTTAGGGCTTTTCAGTTTTTTGTTTTTTTTAAAGGCTTAAAATTTAATAACAATAACAATGTTTAAGATAAGGACTAGAAATAAAAACCTCGTAAAGAACGAACGAAGATAAATACATTCAGAAAAGAAATCAGACTGCTGCATCGAATGTTAAGCAATAATAATAATACAAAGAAAGTAACATTCACATTGTCAAATAAGAGTATGTCTATTATAGAATGCTTTTTTTTTTCTTTTAGACAGAGTCTCAAACTAATGCCCTGGGTAGAGTGCCAGGGCATCATTATATCTCACAGCAACCTCCAACTCTTGGGCTCAAGCCATCCTCTTTCCTCAGTTTTTCTATTTTTAGTAGAGATGGGGGGGGGTCTCAGTTTCACACAGGCTGGTCTCAAACACGTGAGCTCAGGCAATCCACGTGCCTCAGCCTCCCAGAGTGCTGGGATTACAGACGTGAACCACTATACTCAGCCTAAGTTTCTTGATGAAGGCAAGAAGTCACAGAGTTAAGAGGACAGAGATGGACTCTACAATAGAAATCCCCACTTCTGGTTTTCCCTTACAATCACTTGGAGAATCTTAAACAAATTAAGATGCCTGAACCCCATCGCCATAGATTCTGATTTATTTCATTTGTTTCATTAAGCTCTCTAGTTATACTGTATAACGAAGGTTGAGAACCACTGATTTAAAACAGGGATTAGAAACAACAGCCAATAAGCTCAACCTGACCTGTGGCCTATTTTTGTATAATCCATGGACCAAGGATATTTTTACATTTCAAATGGTTTGGAAAAAAACAAAAGAATATTTTATGACATGAGAAAATGACAAGAAATTCCAATTTCAGTGCTTATAAATAAAAATGTTAATAAAACACAGCCATGCTCATTTGTTTACATATTACTATAGCTGCTTTCATGCTATGTTAACAGAATTTCATAATAACTATGGCTGGGCATGATGGTTCACACCTGTAATCCACACTCTGAGAGGCTAAGGCAGGAAGATTACTTGAGGGCAACATTTTTTTTTTTTTTTGAGACACAGCCTCACTTTGTCACCCTGGGTAGAGTACTATGGCATCATAGTTCACAGCAACTTCAAACTCCTGGGCCCAAGCTATCCTCTTGCCTTGGCCTCCCAAGTAACTGGGACTATAGGTACCTGCCGTAACACCCAGCTGTTTTTGAGAAATAGGGTCTTGCTCTTGCTCAGGTTGGTCTCTAACTCATGAGCTCAAGCAATCCACCCGCCTTGGCCTCCTAGAGTGCTAGGATTATAGGTATGAGCCACTGCACCAGGCCCACGGTCAGGAGTTTGAGACCAGCCTGAGCAAGAGTAAGCCCCCATCTCTACTAAAAATAGATAAAATTAGCCAGATGTGGTGATACACACCTTAAGTCTCAGGTGCTCGGGAGGCTGAGGCAGGATTGCCTAAGCCCAGGAATTCGAGGTTGCTGTGAGTTATGATGACACCACTGCATTCTAGCCAGGTGACAGTGAGATTCTTCCTCAAAAGAAAACAAACAAAACCTCCCCAAACCCCCCACAGCTATGACAGAGACCATATGATCTGCAAAGCCTAAAATATTTACTATCCAGCACTTTACAAAAAAGTGTGTGACCTCTGGTTTAAACCTTCAAAGCAATGTAATATATTAGTCATAATATGCCCAGAAAAGCAAGGTGAGTTTGATAAGAAGAATTTACACGTATGCTAATTCTGATTCATGTAACTTTCTCTATATTCATCTCAGTACCGAGAGAAAACCTAAGTTCAATTCTACCCAGGTGGCAATGCTCTTGGAGTGAGAAAGTTCACTGCTGTAGTTCTAGCCTGATGATTAGTACTTACTTTCATAGACTTCCAGGCCTGGTTTCTGGTGTACTCTGCATCAACAAGTTTTGGATTTTTCCGAGACAGAAGAATGAGAGGATCTCGTTCTGGACTTGTCCTGTAGGAGAAACACATGACATAAAGCTGTGTGGCCTATACCATAATAGTGTCCCCAATCCAGACAGTGCAATGACTGTCTGCCCAGGTGGACAATTCACTGCTTGTGTTACAGCACAGGACCTTTCCTATGCTGTACTTCCTGAGGGCACTGGGTATTGCAGCATCTAGGTAGTTGGGGGCTAGTCTCACCATTCCTTGAGGGATGGGGATGCCTGCATCTGGTCTTGCAAGGTATGCTGTTCTGGCCATACAGCTGTATCCTAGGGAGTGATTTCCTTTTTAGGAAAGTTCATGCAGCTTCTGTAATCACCAGTATTCACCAAAATAGCTATGTGGCCTTTGATTTGTATGCTTTGTATAATATTTAATCAATCTCAAAAATGAAAGGGCTTAAAAACCTAAAGATAAAGTCCCAATTGTCATGGTCCAAGTAACAGAGGGTCCTGACATGAGAGAGGTCATGAATCCCTTGAGAATCTGGTAAGAACTATGGACTAATCCCATCCCAGAAAAATGCACACATCCCCATATAATTTCAAGGAAGTTCTAAAACTCTGGAAGCCCAGATATAGGCTCCAAGTTAAGAATCTATAATCTCAAAGTGTGAGAATCAGAGAAGTTGCTAAGGAATAGTAAGCAGTGGCTGTTAATGTGCATCCCAAGTCCACCACCCAGGCAGAAAGGAGGGTAAATAGAGGATGTATCATCTCTGGCAAGGACTCAGTGCAAAAACAAAATCCTTCTCCCTCATGGTCTTTTCTTTTTTTTTTTCTGAGACGCAGTCTCCTGTGTCACCCTTGGTAGAGTACTGTGGCATCACAGCTCACAGCAACCTCAAACTCGTGGGCTGAAGCGATTCTCTTGCCTCAGCCTCCCAAGTAGCTGGGACTGTAACACCCAGCTATTTTTTTGTTGCAGTTGTCATTGTTGCTTCTGGTCTGGGCCAGGTTTGAACCTGCCAGCCTCAGTGTATGTAACCAGCGCCCTACCCACTGAGCTACGGGCACCACTTCTCATGGTCTTTTCTATCCATCCTTTCTACATATGCATTATGGACTGTCCCTGGCATTGGGAATATGGAGCTGAACAACACAACTCCATATTACTATCTTTTCCATTTCCCACCTCTCTTTCCTGCCCACTTCCCTCTCCATTTTCACCTGTCTCAGTCTGTGCTCTTAAACACTATCTGGCAGCCACATGGTCTGATGAAAAAGGCAGTCAGGAGACCTGGTAATGAGTTCTGCTCTGCAGAGTGACCATGGCATGACCATAAGCCACTCCTCGGAAACTATAACAAGAAGATACCCATCTGTTATGGTCAACATTATTATATTTTACATTATGTATTTTTTATTTCATGTGTTTACGTTATTCCCTAGTGCTACAACTTGTTCTGTTAACACTATTTATAGTCAATGCTCAACACACTCACAGTACTGTGTAAATATCTATTGAATGGCTCGGCGCCTGTGGCTCAAC